GGGGAACCGACTTCTATATACTCATTTTTGAAATCTAAAAAGTCACTTTTTAACTCCATTTAGACGTCCGATCCCGCCAATCCGACTTCTAAAGACCTTTAGGCGTCTGATGTGGGGGAACTGACTTTTATATAATCATTTTTGAAATCTAAAAAGTCACTTTTTAACTCCATTTAGACGTCCGATCCCGCCAATCCGACTTCTAAAGACCTTTAGACGTCTGAGGGGAACCGACTTCTATATACTCATTTTTGAAATCTAAAAAGTCACTTTTTAACTCCATTTAGACGTTTGATCCTGCCAATCCGACTTCTAAAGACCTTTAGACGTCTAATGTGAGGGGAACCGACTTCTATATGGCTGCACTAAAACACCGCTAACACGAGGCAGCAGTTATGCACACTCACTTTTCATCATCTTCCTCGCATTTTCTCTCCACGGGCTACGTTTTTTAGGTTCGTTTTCTCACTTTTGCACCGTTTAAAATTAATTTTACTCCGATTACATCACTCTTTGATGCATTATCTTTCATTTGAACCGATTAAAAGGTGTTTTCGTTGGGTTTTGGTATAGTTTTGCTCATGTCCTTGGGCGACATTCTTGGGCGGCGATTTCTTACGTTTTGCACTCCTCCAATTCCCTCCACTACATTTTTAGAACCATCCAATACAAAAAAAATGTACAATACATTCTGTTCAATTAAAATATAAAGTTGTAAACTCGAATCACCATGAGCCAGGAGCAACCCGAGAGGCTTCAAGCGGAAAAAGATTCAATCAAATACGACAACGTTTTAGACGTCTGACTTGTATGGATTGAACGTCTATATAGATGTACGACCTATAGGGTTCGACGTCTCATTAACGTCACCCATATACACGTCGGACAACTATCAGACGTTAAAAGCCCAAAATAAAAATAACAAACGTCTAAAACCCTCTCTGCACTCGTGTGTTCAAATCCAATGAAATAATGGTAATGACTAAATCTTATCATAGACTTAACATGAAAAATATTATATAGTTAAATAAAAACATCTTACCAGCACAATATCTACCTCAATTATTACTTAATCGAAGTTACAAAGTAAAATATATACATTTTATACCATGAAAGCAAATATCTAGATCAATCATAATCCAACGATATAATAAAAACTAAGAACCAAAATACATAAAATAAAATATATACATAAATGGAGATTTATGTAAGCAATACACATGCTAAATGAGACAATGATCACATTTCAAGAACAAATAAGAATTTTAAAATATTTACCTATGTAGGAAGTAAGCCTGAAAAAGTCACTTCAATAGTTACCTCTTCATTCATTCAATTGAACATACGCATAGTATTGTCCTCGCTCAATCAAAGTCCGAGCTTAAAATGTTAGAATGTTCAAATCCAATTCAAAATAAAAATCAATTCATCACAAATATAAGAATGTACTAAATAAAAGGAAATATAATAACATGGTAATGACTAAATATAAAACAACTTGAAAACCATAACAGCCCCTAAAAAATTTGATAAATTTTCACCAAAAAAACGATAATATTGCATTATCAAATACAAAATTTTATCATAGACAATCACAAATGCACAAACCCTAGCTCAATTAGTGTTTAACCATAATTCAAATGTTATAACTAAAAATCATAAAATCATCTTATTTGTATCATTCCATGTCTTTATCTATAAACCTTTGGAATCGGGTCATCAAAGATATTTGCTTAGTTGGTGATGATCTTATAAAAACATATAATACGAAATAACCCTTGAACTTTGTTATAACATAGATTTATCAAAAACCAACTTTTAACTTTCACGTATTGTCCATTAAATCGAATCCATACATAGTGTTGGTGTTAAAGATGAAAAAAAAAACAAACAAAAACATAATACACAAGGATTGATCAAGGAAAAGAAAAAAAATCCAGTAACATGCTTCCATGAATAAATTTTCTGGTAATTTGTTTTCTTAGTTATGTAGTATATATATATATATATATATATATATATATAATTATTTTTTTACAGAAATTAATTAACATGATTTAATTCTATTATTGATTACTTTCTAAAAAGTTAATTTTATTAAAAATTAATATCAATAATAAAATAAAGTTGTTAAAAATAGAATTTCAATGAGTTGTTCTTACCTTGTAAAACATTGTCACTTTGAAGTCAAAAGAATGAGTTATCAAAAGCCAAGTTGATATTTTAGAGTAGTTAAACTAAAAGGACTTCACATGTAAAAAATATTTTAATGTTTAAGTAAAAGTTTAAAATATTTTTTTTAAACATTATAATAAATATATAAATGAATAAAGAGAAATACATCTTCTATATACTATGATTTAATATATTTATAAGTTTCTTATATTCAAATTACCTTAAATTGATTATGTTACCTAAAATATGGGATTCTGATATATATATATATATATATAGATACCAACCGATAACTATTATTTCTGTAAATTGTTTATATTTCTATTTTAAAAATGTGTATATAAGATTGTGTAATATTATTTTATTATTGATATATTCCAAAAAATATTATAACTTTGTTTTAATATGAAAACTTAATTTAAATATAAATTTATTTTAATATAAATAAAGATAACAAAATTTAAAAGTTAAGAAAACCTCTTAGAATAATTTGACTCAGAAACAAATAACTGATAAAAAAATATTTTTTTGAGAAAATCTTCCTTATTAAAAATATTAATGCAGTGTATCTTGAGTTTATTCTCTGGAATAATATAGATGATGGCTATTAATATATATTATCTAGAGAGAGAAGTTTCTAGTTACTTTATATTAAAAAAACCACCAAACCTTATCCTTTCCCATAAATGCTAGGTTTTCCCTCCGTTTTAATCCTGAAACAAAAAAACTCACATAAAAGAAATATCTGTTTTGATATCTTTCATTTGTACTTATAACTTTTGTACAATCTTATCCTAAGAAGATTCATTCAATGTGGGTCCTCTTCAGACAATCCCACTTTTAAATATCAAATCTTTATACCAAAGCTCATCAAAAGGACTTCTCTTTTTCTTAAAAAAAATATAAAGGGGCAAAATCGTCTTCTTCTTCATTGAAATATGCAATGTGCTATCTCCAACATGGTAACCCACTTTTCAATACCACTGGCCATAAACAGTACATAGAATTGAAGGTATTATTATTATTTTCTGGAAAACTATTTATGCAAGTTGGGTCGTTAGAAGAAGTAATTAAGGTTTAACTTGTTACGTCTTTTAAAAATAAATGCAGTTAGCTAAAACAATAGTAGTTCAAAAAGAAATTTAGTGTTTTATTTTTTTTGTTAAAAAAGGTTTATCTAGTTGAGCTGTTAACATTAAATAAGATGGCATTCTTGGTAACAAAATTCTCTCATCTGGGTAACTTTTATTAACCAAAAAGGTAGTTAAAGTGTAAAAAAATTGCTTTTTTAAGTGAATTGGTCAGTTTAAGATTCCAGAATAATGTATTCATTAACAAAGTTCTTAAACTTCTTTGGAATGAAAAAAGTATCATAAACTAAAACATAAGTAATTAACACAAAAAAGGACATTTAAAAAAGAGAGTTAGGTTTTGAAATTTTACCTAAAATTAAAACAGACCTTAAAACCAAATAAAAAAACACGTAAAGAAGTAGTTACCAGTAAATTTGTCAAATCCGAAAAAGCCGACCATATATTTAAAAAATATGAATTTGTGATGTTTTATCAATTAAATCAATTCTAATATGTTAAAGAAGTAAACTTTACATTCTTAAAAATATGAACTTGTATATTTTACCAACTGAATTGACCTTTATCAGTTAGAAAGGGTAACAGTGTCATTTTGATAGTGTCATAAGCAGGTCATATCATATCACATATCTTGGTATAGTTAATACCATCGTCTTTGTGGGATAATCCTTGGTTGCATGCAGAATATTTCTCTGGAAAACATCTATGGGAAAGTGTTCCTTCAAGGACTCTCTGAAGGCTCTGGAAGCTGATATTCAGTATGCTAATACTCTGTATGTTCTCTTTTTCTATATTATCTTTCTCTTTTGGGGCAATTGATTGATTGAGAAGTTAATCTTCAAAAGCTCTTATGCATACTCCTTCCTATTCCCAGATCAAAATTTGATCTTTTTTTCTAATTGAGGGTCTGTCATGCTAATCACTGAAGTTCAGCACTTTTTTCTTTAATCTTTAAGAATTGATTGTTTTGTCTACCACTTTTATACCTTTTCTGTAATCCATGTAAATATTGTGCCTTTTGTCATTTGAAGCTGAATGCTACTGAGTTTTTCTTGAGATGGTAAAGTGGGACCTTGAAGCTGGGAAATTTTTTAAAGAAAAGGTTCATGATCTGCACCTCTAAATTTGTATGAAACTCAATTTCCTTGTTGGAACTTGATAGCATTGACATGCTTGTACTTGGATCAGTCACAGAGATTCTCTTAGCAGAGTATGGCCCTTTTCTGATGTGAGTCTGTGCTTAATGTGCTTTTTCTTTTTCCCCTCTTTGTTAGGGCATTGGACCATCCAAGGGAAAGAGATGGAGGATGCTTTCAGATGAGAATATCTTACAGTCCAGCAGCTCCTATTTTTCTATTTCTTGTTCAGTGGGCTGATTACCGTTTGGCTGGTGCTCTGGGTTTGCTGAGAGTTCTAGTTTATGTGGTATGTATGTTCTAAATGTTCTAAATGCTTTCATTTTTTTCAGTTACCATGTTGTTGGTGGCGGCTTTGTCGATATCTAATGTTTGTTGAAAAACTTGACTAATTACTTTCACTGAAGTCTCTTTTTCCATCCACAACGACTTGTTTGCTGTTTTAGAATATGATGATTTGCAATGATCTTGTGCAAAAGACTGAGTCGCTAACCCTTATTCATATTAATTATTAGACTCCAATTTCATCTTAAGTAAGAAAACTAATCATGGTAGCTACTCAGAAATATGAGAGCTAATCCTATAAGATATTGTAAGATAGAAAACTAATCCCAAAGTATAACCTGAGATACTCTGATCATTAGAAGCAATTTACAATATCCTATGATAAATTTAAAACACTTTCCCTGTTTTAACACTAACCTGATGTTCATGCTTCCTTCCTAGTTTTCCATTCCTTGTTCTAAAATTGTCATAATCTGTTTGCAGACTTAATTTTCCTTTAACATGTGTGCAGACTTATGGAAATGGGAATAATACCATGTCAATATATGAAAGGAAAGCAAGCATCAGACAATTTTACAGTAAGTCTATGCTGTGAAGAAAATGTATGTTTGGCTACTTGTATAGCTTTGTGCTTGTTGCTCTCTCTAGGAGCAGCTAGCTACGTGTTTATGTTCTTGATGATTAGCATAAAAGTAACATGTTTTTTTTTTTCTTCTGTTTCTCTCTTTTGACTATAAACAGCTGTTATATTTTCTGCTCTGTTGCAACTTGAGAAAGGCATCACGGATTTGGAGGAAAGGAAACAGAAAGAAGTGGCTCTTAGGTACAAAGGAAAGAGTGGCTTAACGGAGGGAAAACTATCTGATATTGACATTGAAAGAGAAGAGGAATGTGGAGTCTGCTTGGAAGTGACAGCTAAAGTTGTGTTGCCAGATTGCTGCCACCACATGTGTTTGCAGTGCTACAGAGATTGGTAAATATCTTGGATTCTGATTCCATTACATAATATATTCTTTATAGTTATATTTTATGTTTTGCTGCTGATCATATTCTTGAAGTAAAATCAAGTCTTTTCAACATATGAGTGAAACATGTCAAATTAAAAGGAGAGGATGTTTGTCTACTATTTCATGTGAATCATGTGGTGCAGATGTTTCTGTATCAATGAGAACATCTTGTGTGTAAAAATAGGGTACGATAAGTTCAGTTTAGGTGAGGAGCATTAATTCTTCACCGACTTTTTTGAAGACAGAATAATTGTTGACTAAAAGGTTGAGAATTTCTCATAAGTTCATAAATTGTTCTGACATTGCTTTTACTTCATAAAAAAGGAAAATCCTTGATTTCATCAATGTCATCCTCCTTTTTACCCACCTCACCCCACCAACCAAAATTAGTTTACTTATTGTGGTCGTTGATTCAGGTGTGAGAGATCTCAGTCTTGCCCCTTTTGCCGGAATAGCCTGAAGAGAATCTATTCCGGGGACCTTTGGATTTACACAGACATGAATGATGTTGTTGATATTGGGACAATTTCCAAAGAGAATTGCAAGAGGCTGTTTCTTTACATAGAGAAGTTGCCTTTAATTGTTCCAGATCCCAGATACGTGTTCTATGATCCATTTCTGAGATGAGTTTCTGAGATTTTGGAAAACAGTTTGTTCACTTTACTTGTACATCCATTTTAGACCATAATTTAGTTGTATATATTTAATTGGCTTTCTTCCAACCTGCTTCAAGTTCCAGTATTCTGTTGTCCCTTATCTTAATGATTTGGTGATTCGCTCGTTATAGTATAATAATGTTCCTGGTTTTAGGTAAACCAAAATTTGATTGAACCATAAACTGTCCTTAACACGGTTAGGCCAATTAGTCAATGATACAAATATTTTTTATCCAAATTCAATGATAGTCATTACTATAAGGATGCAGCAAATGACTATTGAAAAGGACGTGAAAGTGACAGAATAATGTCTATCCAATAAGTGGGATCCACTCACTTGACAAGATTCCTTTCATTCATGATATTTTGAAGCATAACACGGACCCTACTCAACTTGTCCCTCTCAGCTAATGCCCTTTTGTTTGTGTTCCCTGATGAAAACTCTCATCCAAAACGACTGAACCAAGGCAATTACAACGTGTTAAAATTTGTGGGTTAATCCAGTTTACCATAGTTCGAATAGGATTATCTTTAAAAAAAATCATAAATTTTGGCATGGGACAAAATTATATTTAGCTTACTAAAAACTTACTGAAAAAGAAAATTTATCTTGACAGAGTTTAATGAATATTATTCAATAATCTAAAATTATTCCAATCCTTAAACAATGCTAATCCACAACATAACCCAAGAAAAAGTAACAGACATGTCACACAAAAATGAAACTAAGATAGGGCATGTTGAATAGGCACGTAATCTCCATAAAGTCTGAGATGATAGTTTTCTTGAGCATAAGCATACCCTCCATGGCAAGAAATGTCAAGCCCAGTAACTTCCTCATTCACAGGAATTCTCAATATCTCAAGCTTCTGCAAGGCATAGAATATAGGGCCCATTGTTACACTCACCCATCCAAAGATTGTCAAAATCTCAATCACTTGGGCTCCAAACAATCCCCAACCACCTCCAAGCAGTACACCATAGGGTCTTGAAACCCCAATCTCACCACAATTATACACTTGAATAACAAACTCCTCTTTGGCAAACAACCCAGTAAACAACAAACCCCAAGTGCCACACCCTCCATGCAATTGGGCTGCCTCCAGTGGATCATCATAGTTCAACTTTAGAGCCACAATGTTCAGCCCAATTAAAACCCAAGCCGACACAAACCCACAAATAATGGCGGCCCATGGCTCAACAACAGAGCATCCGGACGTGATGGCAACAAACCCACCAAGCAAGCCATTGCACGCATCCATTGCATCCCAGTGGCCGACTAACAATCTTCGGCCAAACAAAGTAACTATTCCGGCCGTCGAACCAGCTAATATGGTTGTCACGGCAGTCCGACCCACCGAGGTCCAATTACCTTGGTCCGACGTGCCGGGATAAGCCACAAGGATCTTGTCAAAGGATCCTGGATTAAATCCAAACCATCCAAACCATAACAAAAAGGTCCCAAGCACAACAAGTGTTGCGCTGTGGCCTCTTAGAGGCATGGGCCTGCCTAAAGAATCAAATCTTCCGGTCCGTGGACCTTCTATGATGGACCCCCAAAGACCAGCAACTGCGCCAACCAAATGCACCACTCCACTCCCAGCAAAGTCAATGGCTCCTGAACCCAAGAACAAGTGAGTTGAATTTGGACTGAGCCAACCACTGGATGACCAGAGCCAATGAGCAACAACTGGGTACACAAAGCCACTGAGGAAAAATGAGAAAACAAGATAGGCACTGAATTGAGTTCTCTCAGCTATGGATCCACTCGTGATGCCTGTTACAGCTATAGCAAAAGCCCATTGGTAAAGGAAGAAAGCATAGTCGTAAGTTGCGTTTGGAATGTGGGATAGAGCAAACAGATGAGTGCCAATGAAAGGGTTAGAAGTGCCATATGCAAATGCAAAGCCGAAGAGGTAGAAGGAGATGCTACCGACGACTGCATCAACGACGTTTGTGAGCATTATGTTCATTGCATTTTTTGCACGCACTGAACCTGCACATATCATGGCAAACCCAATTTGCATCACGAAGACAAGGTACGCTGAGAACAGAAGGTAGATTGCGTTGATGGAATAAGTCACACTTTCTTCCCATGAAACCCCCATTCTAGTGACTGTGAAGTGAATCATTAAGAAATGGTGGAATTGGTATATTAATAGAGATATGTGTAAACTTTGAATGGTAGTTATATAGCTACCTAACTCTTCTAGTTGGTAAGTGTTCTGCATTCTGCTCAACCCTTCTAAGGGACAAGATATACCTCCAAATGCCAATTAAAAATTTAGTTATACACCTAACTTCGTTTACGTTTTCTTTTCAACCATTAACGGTTAAAAATATCTACCCTAAACAAGGTCATTTTAATTTAAATAAACAGTTTACTTAATTTAAAATATGAAACTAAAAAAAAGGTACATATTTATATATAATAAAAAAAATACATTCATGCGCAGTATTTATTTTTCTATGATAATAATAAAAGTATTATTATTGTTGTTATTATAATTATAAAATGTCAAATTTAAAATTTAAAATGTCAAATTAAAAAGGGTTAAATTTAAAGAAAATGTAAAATTGATAAAATAATTATTTTAATTTTAAAAAAAACTTTTATTTAAAAAATAAATTTCAAAAATAGATGTGAACACCATAAATTAAATATCATATATATATATATATATATATATATATATATATATATATATATATACACACACACACACACACTTTTTGCAATCATTAATAATTTTTTTCTCAGTTGTGGAGGTGTGTGTCTCTTGGAATTATTTATAATATTAATAATAATTAAGTGAATTAATTTTTCACAATAAAAGCTTTTGTCGTTTCAAATTAAGTGCACTAATAATAATAATAATAATAAGGGTAAAGTGTATGTTTTTCAGAATTTATGAAAGTTGTATTTCAAGTTAAATAATAAATATATATTGCTTAACATATTTTGTCCGAGCAAATGTAGGTTTGTTTATAGAAACACCATTATTTATATATGTACCTAGTACGTACTTTAAAAATTGTTGTAAAAGAAAATTTTTAATGGAAAAAAAAATATTTAAGCATTTGAGCACGGATTAATGGTAAGGTTTATAAAATTACATTAACTACCCAAGTTAGGAATATTAATGTTGAAGTGAACTTATATGAGATACTTATATTTGTGTAGTATTATTACAGGGCAACTACAATTAAAAAGAAATACCGATTAAGCGTGTAAGTTCATTGATTTTTATAATGGGACAAAACAAATCAAAATCAAGGATTAATCGTTAAACATATAACACTACAGGAGAAACAATATTTAAAGTCACTGATGGATATTTACTTCTCTTTTTTATATGGAATAAATAAATGTCATAAATTAGTTGAAATGTAAATTTCTCACTTCTTAGCAATTTGTGGAGTTGAGGTTTCAAACAAACTTGAAATCTTGTTGAGTTTGCTTTCTAACTTATTCAATCTTTCATCTATCCTCTTTTCATCAACTGCACCATTATCAATTCATGCACTCCCTTCAACAAAGTCATTGAATTTTCTCTTTGTCATACTGTTGATTGTCTACTGCCTTCCGTTCTATTAGATCTATATCATCTTCTGGTGACCTGTCTAAGAAAAATCCTTCGCTTGTAGCATCTGTCCATGATCTATCAGTAGGACTTAAGCCTTCATAAAAGCTTAGAATAAAATCTTCCATTTGGAGTTGAGGGCATGAAGAACATAGTTTCTTGAATCTTTTCCAATACTCACTAAGATTCTCTTTATCTCTCTATCTTATATCTTGAATTTCTCTGCAGATAGCTGATAATCTAGATGCAGGAAAATACTTCTTAAGAAAGAGTCTTTCAATAGTTTCCCAATTTGTAATACGTGTAGAGAGATAATACCACCAATCTTGAGCTACTCCTTAAAGAGTAAATGGAAAAACTCTCATTTTAAGGCTCTCTATTGTGATCCTGGGAGATCTAAAATTTTCACACAACATGTGAAATTGTCTCAAGTGCTTGTGTGGATTCTCCCTTGATAACCCATTGAACTTTGGTAAGGCATTTAACAGGTCAGGTTTCAACTTCCACCCCTCATTAGGGTATTCAATGTTTACTTCTTGAGGTATTTTATTAATTATGTTGAATATATTGAAAAAGTATGCATATGATTAATCTCCCTTGTGCTAAATATATATATATATATAGGGTCCTCTATTTATAATAAAAAAATGGGTTAAGTTTAAAATACAAATAATAAAAAACTAACTAAAGATAAAAGATAAATATAAAATAAAAGATAAAGATAAAAGATAAATATAAAATAAAGATAATATATCTAACACTCCCCTTAAGCTGGTGCATGCAAATTTTATGTATAAGCTTGTTACTGATATAATCCATAAAGACTTAGTGAGCTGCACTCGAGTGACACCAAATTGCTAATGATTTGAAAGACGACATAGAAGACGAACTACCAAGCCAACAGACTCTCCCTGAGCAACAAATTTGGGAGGTTGCTCCATGTAAATCTCTTCCCTCAAATCGTCATTGAGAAATGCCACTAGTGGATAAAGATGCAATTGTTGGAGAGCCACCACGACTATAAATAAACTAACAATAACCCTCTTTTCCATGAAAAAAAACATATATGGATGAGTCAAACGCAATGGTGACAAAAAAATGAGGTCAAAAGAGACACCCGCAGAAGAAGCCAAGCATAAAAAATTCAAAATTCTTCAATCAAGACACCTGAAAAAGGAAAAGAGCAACCTCAATGTTCTGAATAGCTACCTGACGGGACGTGAAACAACACACGATGAACCTGAAAATGAAAAACGAACGACCTCGACGCTCTGAATTACTACTAGATATGCCACCATGCACAATGAAAAATGGAGCAAATCCATAACTTCAAAGGTGTTGAGAGCACGTAGGAGCTCCGATGAAGGCGTCGTTGATGACATGGTGGTCGCCTAGCCGAGACGATATTTGTTGTTTGGTGGACATGTTGTTCCACCCGTTATCAGACCACTCATTAATGTCTAGTCTCACGCTGAAGATGAT